ATATAATTAGAATAAAAAATTATTTAATATGAGACGTAAAAGCATAGTTAAATGAAAATGTTAGTAAAAATGTTTAATCAAATAATTTTATTTAATAATATAATATTGTATCAATATGAATTATAAAAGAATATTTGAAAATCTACCTTTATAGAATATATGATACATAAAAAGTATAGGTAACGTTTGGAACGTCTTGTTAACGAGAAAAAAACGTTTTTTCTTATTAGTACTTGTCATGAATGTAAGATAAAGAGGAACGAGATCGTCCAGTAGGTTGTCCACCTACACGAGTATGGACTCGTATTCGACCTTTTCCTTGTCGTTGTCCAGAAAGAGGAACGAGCATGAGATAGAGTAAATTAGTTCAGGAAACTATTTCGAAGCCGTTTTAACGTCCAGAGTATAATCTAGGATCCCTAACTAGTGCAAGAGAGAGTTAACTCTTTCTCATTTTATCTTTTTTTTTTTTCTTTATTTTTCTTTGAACTCGTACTATTCGTTATCCTTGTCGAGTAGGGACGACGCGTATCAGCAGAAAGAAAGAAAGAAAGAAAGAAAGAAAAAGAAGAAGAAGAAAAAAAATAGAAAGAAATAGAAAGAGAAAGAAAGAGAAAAAGAAAGAGAAAGAGAGATAGAAAAGGTATTAACCTAACCTATTCGGAAACGCGAAACGTTCGAATCTCGCGTGCTGCAGCTTCTTAATGGCGATCGGAATGTCGTCTAATTAAACCGAAATTATCGATTTCGTAGTGGACATATAGCCGACGGCTACACACTGCGACCAACCAGAACCTAAATCCTTCTCCACATTCCATCCATCCTCGCGAATCCGTCGTTAATGCATTCCTAAACATTCGTCCCTCGATCTATCTCTCTCTCTCTCTCTCTCTCTCTCTCATACACACACACAAACACACACACACTAACGTTACCAATCAAGAACTACAGATATTTCGACACTGGTTCAATTAATGAAATTCTTTACAAGTTTCAATAACGGTGACGCGGAGATATTTAAATATATTTTTTCTTTTAGTAATATCAAGTTTTTGATACTTAGGTAATATTTATTTTTTGAAATAGAAACCTCTTTAGAATCGAGGTGATTTGAAAATGGATGAAAAGCTGTAAAGAACACTAAATATTATTTGTTTCAAATGTTGGCTGTTTTACTCGTTCCATTAAACAGCTGCAGAAAAAAATGTTTTTCATTTTCAATTTTTCGATGCTATAGTTTAAAGAAATGTAGGTTATCTAGGTCTTTAGGTACTATAAGTTTTTCAATAGATGATGCTTTATTACAAGTCAATTATTTCGATATATTCACGTCATACGTTTTTTTTTTCCAGATTTACATGTGACATAACTAACTTTACTTTTAATATTTTTTCGAGTATTATTATTTTATATATTCCATTCTAATAGTAGTATTATTTTGTGTGTTGTTATGATTTACTAAATAGCTTAGAATTATATTAATTCAACATTTTATATAACAAAACCACAGTAACGCGTGGTCGGAGTATCCTATTAATTTAGGTATATAATGTATCGTATTGTTTATAATCTCACATTACTTATTGGAATTTGCATTAAATCATTTTGCAAGGGGTTCACCAGTATGATAAATAAATTACATAGGATTAAACGTTTAAACATATAATCTTTTGTAAATTATATTTTAACCTAATAACAATTTCTCGTGTCTTAACGATGCGTTAAGTGAAATTACAAAAATAGAAATTAATTTTAAACAATTCTATTCTAGACTTTTATTACCTACTTGCACTTACATTTCTAATAACGATTATTTCAAAACAAAACCTTTACAGTTTTTTCTTCTCTTTTCTAGGTCTATTAAGTGGAGTTCAAATTACCAGTTCGATAATGTTCTTTTTTCTTTATTTCTTTCTTTCTTTTCCCCAAGAGGTCTAACATCCCCGCAGAGAAATCGTCGATTGGAAAACGAGGTACCTCCAGAGTGGCTGATCGACGGAACGTCGTTAAATCCCCCTCGGTGACCGCAATATACGAGGAGGACTTATTGGCTAACTAAGCCAATACTACCGCAAACGTTCTGTCCATCTGGTGTGCTAATTAGCAACTTGCTCTATAGGAAACGACGATTCGGCGTCTCTAATAATCGAAGATATTACCTAACCCCACCCCCTTTAACTTATTCCAATCTATATACTTCTTTTATTTATTTTCTTTTTTTTTCTGTATATGCATTCTTTTCTTTTTCTTATAACAGGAAATATATTTCTAATTTTATCTGTCCGATTGATTGTTACATCTTAATTTATAAGGGTGCGTATATCGAAAATTCGATTTAATCAATTGGCAAAAGATTCAATTTGTTATTGGTCTATAAAACGAATTTATTAGATTTTTATTATTAATTCAATTACTTAGTATTTATTTATGGTATATAATATTTGGTATTGTTTGAATTTTTATAGATTCATATTTTGTTTTATAATAAAATAATTAACGAAAATTTATGGTATGAGTAACAAAGTACTTTGATTTTATATTTTTGATCTTGAATGTATTAAAAACAATTAATTTTTCTTTAATCTAAGAACAATTTAAGATTAAATTAATTTCAAATATAATTCGTAAGATATCTATTTATCTTAAATTTAATTTTAAGTTAAGTTAAAAGTTAAACCCGAATTTAGTTGGATAATATAATTGTTTGAAAAGTTATGAAACATTTTGGCTTGTTTGTACAATAATGTCCTCAAAGTTATTCTTTTTATCGGCTTGTTTATCTAGTTCACCGTTCAAAAAAGGACATCTTTTAAGAACAGGAAGAGATGAGTTATGAAGAGGGATAGCAAGGATAGGATCAAACGGGAAGATATATTTGTCTTGCTTTTACGAAGGGTGATACGATGGATATCTACTGTGATGATGCAGTAAAAGAGAAAGAAAGAAAGAAAGAAAGAAAAAAAAATGGATTAAAAGGAAGAAAGAATAAAAGACAGTTGGACAATTAGCCGAAAGTGGAAGGAAGTTTTCTCAGTAAACATCACTTAGAAAAATACAATCCCGAGATTCTAGGCAATCGTAAGATGCATTTTTGGTGTACGTGAGTTTCTCTTAGGATATCATTCGGACCCTGAAATAATCGGATAACGTCGATCACGTGATAGGATGGTGCCCTTTCTTGTCGATGAAATGGGGAAAAATGAGAAAATAAGAATTGGGGCCGTAGAAAAAAATGATATGGGAAGTTTCGCGGATACGCGATTCGATATGCTTCAGATAAATTGATACGGGGTTGGATTATGAACAAATAACGCGTTCGTATATGTGCGTATATATTTTATATACCTATATTGGAAACAAATGTTTCCGGAATAAGGGAGAAAAATGAATCCTTGATTTATATGATCTTGGACACACTGTCGGGGGTTGTTTTTGGATTATAAGTCAAAAAATTAGTTTCGAAGTATTCATTAATGAATAAAATGGATTTGCTATAGTCCATTAAGAATATAAGTAAAGTAGTGCTATTTTGGTTGAAAATGAATATTAATATTAGAATTAGAATTGTTATATTATTATTTTTATTAAATTAGTTCAAATGGTAGATCATTTATTACATTTTATTATAAAGTAAATAATTATATTATAAGACTAATTAAAATTCTATTTAAAATAAGAACATTTTTATTCTAAGTCAATGATTCTCAAAAATTTTTCTTAGCACCTTCGATGAATTCAAATTTTCTTCTGTCAAATTTTAACGAATACGTTTTGAGTAATGGCCAATAAGTTTTTGTTAGAATCCGAAAATAATAAATAAAAAATATTAGATTGTAAAAAAAAATTGCAATTGTACTAACTTCAATTGATTATATTGTAATAATTCATGGAGAATGAATGAGTCATTTTGACTGATTTTTCGAAAATTTTATTGTTAAGAAGAAACAAGAGGGAATTCTTAAAACAACTAATAAAAATAGTGAGAAATAATAAAAAAAAGAATGAAGTCGATCGGATAAGATGAATGTTTATGTATTATCGAGATGAGAAGGGTCTATGGGGTTTGCGAAAGCGAAATGAATTCAGGAAAAAGATGAACTTAGAATTCTTTATCGAGTCTCCAGTTCATAGCAATATTGCTTTATAGGATCCGACCATTTGCAGGATAAAAGATTTGCGAACATTGGGTGTAGGTATGTATGTATGTATGTATGTAAGTCAGGTATTTTTGAACCACATGACCTTTCTATGCCACGAAACGATGGACATTGCTGGTCGACGAATAAAAAGATAGAGAAAGAGAGAGAAGGGTTGAAAAGAAAAAAAAAAGAAAAGAAGAAGGAATAAAAGAGGTAGGTTGAGTTACAGAAAGGGAAAAATTGAATTATCATAAAGAAATTGCTTTGGAATATTTCGTCCGTTTCTATTGAATGCCAACGAGTATATGAGACCTTGGTATCGATAGATCTCTTTCAATATTGCCATAAGTTTTGTTAGAAATAGAAAAATCGATAAAATCAAAAATATAAAATAACAAAAATCTAAGACCCAACATCGGGAATTTG